ACCAACATATTCAAAAGGAATTGCAATATTAATGAATGTATTTGCTCCGTGCGTGACAACAGCGCCAATTCTTTTTTGTACTAATGGACTATTTTTGCCTATACTAACAATACAATTTTTAATAGAATTCGTAATTGAAAATTATATATGTTAGTTTTAATAAAAGTATAAGGATTTGTGAAACAAGCAAAACATTAATTTATTATTATTATATATTTTTATCGTTAAACTAAAAAAAATTAATTATATTCAATGAAAATCAATTTTAAAATAAAGGCAGGCAACGTGTTTACGGGAAAATGTATGAGAAGTTGCCTAAGTCTAATAAGTTGTCTTTGAAGAATTAACCTATACCTTTAAATAATAGTGTGAAGTTAAAATGTATAAACAGAAGGACTGTTTTTATATTTTCATTTTTATTCGAAATGATTTAAACCGGGTTTCCTGTTAGTAAGTCACAAACTTGCATTCCAGCCACATACAATAATCAAATGCCAAAATTTAGTTCTTGTTGAACATTTAAGATTAAAGGAATATTGAAGAACATCGTTAAATGAAATTTATTGTTTATTTAAAACCTTTAAAATTTCTGATATCTACTATTTCCAGTATTACTGTTATTATTATAAAAATAAAGGTAATTTTTCTTCTTATTGTACAGCTATCCATTTATTTCTTTGAGATAATTTCCACTTTGTTGCTAAAAATTTTTATAATTCACACTGTTTTTTTGCTAGTATTTTTACAATTTACAACACAGCATTTCCGGTTGCTTATTGTATTGTCTTTACCTACTTTTTTGGAAAAAAGTAAAATGTATACGTGTATTTGATATGCCAAAATTACAAAATATAGCCCTAAAATGCACGAATTATCCGCATCTAGCGCTGGTATCACTTTTGCTTCCCCTACCTTGACTTCGCACTGAGCAAATATATAAATGTGGTGGTATGCAGATAATGATCACTCTTGTTTCTTTGGCATACCCTGATTTAAGATTGTTATGGCTGGCATGACCATCTAGAATTAATATAACCTTTTTATCAATGGTTACATTGGAATAATGGACAAAGCGTACCAGCCATTTTAGAAACAAAGGCCCCATCATCCAGACTCTTGACAAAGCTGCGGGGTATCGATAAGTGCATCATATGTAAGCTCTGCCTTGGAATTTTTCCTGACAAATATCATCGCTGGTGGGAAGAAAGAATCGCGCTCATGTAGCATACTGTGGAGGTGTGCACACTTCGTTCTGCGCTGGTTACGGCACCCACCTGTTTCTGACCTTTGGTGGCAAACATTTTCGATGGACGATGCACAGTGGACAAGCCAGACTCGTACACACTGTAAATTCTTTTTACATTCAAATAGGGTTATGTGTTGATATCTGTATCCGCGTAATTTTTTTCATGTCGTAAGAGCACTGCTCTACAAGGTTTTGGATACGTCGCTTTATAGACCTCATGATACAGGAACGCCATATGGTAAATACTAAAATATTACCCATACCCCCATTGGCCTGTTTGTCAAATGTAAAATTATTTTTTTTGAGTTCTTATATATTTGGTAGGATATTTTTTTATGTAAAAGTCGCATTTTGACAAATAAAAAGCAAATAAAACATATAAAAAACAGATCGATTGTTTTAATTTTATTTATATATAGTTTGAGTTTTAAATAACAGTTATGTGAATATGTGAACGAAGACTTGAAACTATTTATTGTTTATACAAAGACTCCGATGCAGAGATAGTATTTTTAGCTCACCATATATCACTTATAGAAAAGCTACAATTCACCTGTACGTATTCGAGTTTATTTGGAACAAGAAGCGACTAAAAGAAAAAAAAAAGAAAGCCATTACATTCCGAAACGTAAAAACCGTCCAGGCATCTACTATCTCCCCAGATTTATTTAGTACAAGAGCGCGAAACAAATGCCCGCGCGTTGATTTCCTTTTGTTTCTGCTCTATTGTCTGTTTCATAGTTCACTTTGAATTACGGACCATTGTGTGAAATTTTACTAACAAGGTCCGTTTTCGTTAACAGTGTACTTTTCAACCCTTGCTTCATATATTCACCCCTTGGACAGTGGCCGGTTTAATCCGCCCTTATTCTGACCTGGCTGACGCGTTTTGTGTTCGGACCACTATTTCGTAGGGGCCACTTTATGGCTTTACGGCATAAATTACGGGCTTACAGAACATAAGTGATTTTTTTAATTTGTTTATAATGGAAAATGTTGCTTCACACAATCAGATTATTTAATTTGCTGATATTACTTTTTTAATAGGTTTGGTTCGCGAACATAGGTTAACAAAAACGTCAACAAAAGTTATAATTTTGACAAACACATGATTTTTTTAAAGTATTAATAGGTTTATTTTAAACAATTTATAAAAATATATTTAGGTCCTTTGTCCTATTGATATAAAAATATTTCGCCTGTTTGCCTCTTCAGTTTGCACATATTAAAATATTCAGTTTCTTTTACCTCTTAAGCCTATCAATCTTAAATTAGTTTGAATTCTGCTCATGTAATAATGATTGGCCAATATATATCTTGAGGCTTGTCCATATAAAAGTATTTGAATCTTGTATTCCTTCAGCTTGTCTATTTCCAAATGTTTGGTCCCTTTACCACTTACGCTTGTCTATAATTAATCCACATACCCCTAAAGCCTGCCGTCAAATAATTTTTTAGTCACCAAGTGATTACCGATAGAACATAATGCGTGGAAATCAGCAAACAGTAACAGCTAATCGCACTAGACACTCAAGGCGACCCAAATATTTCTGCCTGGGGCAGCGCCGACGACGGTCCGCTACTACCGCATCAGTTCCCCGCACTTCTCGCTCTTCACTGCCGATGTTCTCTACATTACTACAATTCGTAATCACACAAACATTTGTTTACCTACTAACACAGCCATACTGATCTATATTTCGCTCTCGAAATATTTTCTTTTTTAAGGAAAGACTGGTTATTAATTTGTATTATTTTAATTTATAAAAATATTAAACAAAAAGAAAAGACGTATCAAATAAAAATAACAAAATTTTAAGATCAGCCACCAGATCAGAGGTATTCCTCAGATATTTAACCGACCTGTACTTAACTTTGTTACTAAATGAAAATAGTAAAGAAGTTCATAGGTACTCCTCAGGGATTAACCTGACTTGTACTTGAATTTCTGGTGATATGAATACAAGGTTAAGTTCAGATGTACTGCTCAGTGATTAACCTGACCAGGGGCCTATATCATAAAACTTATTAGTCTAATAGTATTGGCTAAAGTTTAATATTATGAGTAATAAAAATATTAGTATTACTTTCATAATATTTTTAGGTGATAAAATTAGTTATTAGTAAACTTACTCTTAATAGTAGTTTATTATATTTGTAAAATTTGAAGTATGTTTCATAATTAAAATAAACAAATAATTTTAAATAAGAAATAACTACTAATATTATTACTTAATTTGCACTGATATTATATGTGACACATTTTATTTGAAAATTATGGATTCAGATTCAAGTGACGATGAAATTAGAATTGTAGTTAGACGACCTAGAATTTTCAGAGAAAAAATTTCATAGGTACATTTAGAAGAAGCCTACGAATTCAGTGAAAGGTTTAGGTTACCTACTGGAAGTTTTAATATAATACTGCAATGGATAGAACATCTTTTATCTTCTGATACTCAAAGAAATCATGCGCTTACAGCCAAGCAGCAATTGATAAGTGCACTACATTGGCTTGGAAGGGGAACACAGTACCATGGTGTTGCAGATATGCATGGTATTAGTAAAGCAACTGTATGCAGAGTTGTTCACAGAGTTGTTACAGCAATTAATCAAATTTTAATAAACGAAACAGTTTATTGGCCAGTGGATGAGGCTGAAGTAATTCATGGGTTTACTGAAATGGCTGGAATGCTCCTTGTGTGTGGAGCAGTGGACGGGACTTTAATTAACATTGATGCTCCAAGTCAATATGAGCCTGGTTCTGTTGATGGTCATGGTAATCATTCATAAAACGTGATGCTTGTATGTGGTCCAACAATAAAGTTTTATTATGTAAATGCCAATTGGCTTGGTAGCGTAAGCGATGCACGAGTTTGGAGGCGAAGTACACTTAGCATCAGAATGGAAGATGGTTGGAGACCTTTTCCAAATGCCGTATTGTTAGGTGATTCAATTTATCCTTTAAAGCTCTGGCTTATACCACCTGTACTTCGTAATGCAGAAGATCCTGCACAACAAAGATTTTTAAGAGCACAGGAAAGTACAAGGCGAGTTATTGAATATGATATTGGTATTTTGAAAGAAAAAATTCCATGCCTCAACTATTTAAGATTAAAACCTACATTTGCCTGCGAGGTAATAAAATGTTGCGTTGTACTCTGCAGTTTTACAATAGCAGATGTTGAGACGTATAATAATAGAGAAGAAAATGATATTACCTTTGATATGGTAGACGACGGCGAACAATTAGCTAGAGAAGCAGGTGGCGAGGAAACATTACATTACTTTTATAATCACTTTTGGAATGCATGAAATAATATCTATAAATGTAAAGAAAACATTTTATTTTTCAGCATATTGAAAAATTTATTTTGTATGTATTTTTTGTTCTGCAAAATAATAAATTGGTAGGCATTTGAAAAGTAGCTACTTATTAAACTTTCATCAGTCATAGTAATAAAATAAATAAAAGTGTAACATACTTTTTTTTATAATGCTTTTAAATATATTAAAATATCATTATTTTTCTTTAATATAAATAAACTACCCTTCGTCTCAATCAGTAGAATTTCATAACCTGTCCCAGTTGTGTTTCGCAACCACTAATATAGTTGGAGGATACAATGTTCATAGTATGAACAAAATGTTTAAGTGAGCATTATTTTTCCCAAACTTCCAGTTCCAACTTCCGAACCTCAAGCTGAAGTTTATTTATTTTAAGAGATTGAATGTTCTTGGCATCATCTGGTTGCTAAACGATAACTCTTTTCTTACCTACAAAAATAATATATGTAATCATCTGAATTAGAAACTAGGCTGACTTGTTTTGAAATAATTTTAGTCACTTTATAGTCTTACCTCTACATGAACTTTGTTGAAGCAAGCACTTGCTTTTTGTGGTGCCATTATCATCGTTTTCATTGGGCATAGAATAACTAAAGTCCTCAGTAATCTCTTTAACTTTGGAAACAGTTTCCATCGAATCGGGTACGCCAATTCCTTCAACAACAGAAGATTCCTTTCCAATTATTTCAATCACTAGTTTATGAGTGTCATCTAATTTTGATTCGGGACCTCCTTGTTTTATTTGATTGGTCAATTTTTGTCTGTAATCAAATAAAAATCTTTTATATGCTTTACAAGAGAGGACGGCTCAATAGTAAAATTAAAAACAATTAGCATTAATTACACAGGATACAAAAAATATTTTTAAAATTGTCCAAATAACTCATTTAAAGTGTATTTTTTAGTACTGGTTTTAAAAACAAAATTAATTTCTTCGGCCACCTCAGAATATCTCACAAGAATGGTGTATTTTGGGTAAAAAACTAAATTTTACGATAATGTTTCTAAATTTTAATAAGAAGATAAAAGATAGCATAGTTTACATATTATACACAACAGAATATTGAAAAAATGCATAACTATAAAGGCCAAAGTGCCTATAAAATATAACAGCTTCTTTGAAAATATTTGCAAAACTGTATTTGATGGAATATTTTTAAGTATTTTCCTACAATCAGTACTAAAAATTTTTTAAAAATTACTGATTACATATGAGATCATTTTTTTGTTGCAGACCTATGTTATAAAAAAAATTAAAAAAATAATCAGAAGTTTTACAGTACTAAAAGGTATAATAAACCTTAGGCTCGAATGTGATGGATTTTTATTACAATGTTTCCATTATTTAGACACACCAATGTTGAATAAGCTTTGTTAAAGCATTATGTATTAAAAACTAATTATTAAATGTGGCGATATCTCATATAATGCAACTGAAATACAATTAAAGTAAATAACTGCATTTATGTAATCGTATTATAAAAAATAGAGATAACACTTACCATTGTTCTGGACCTTAGGATAGGCCAAGTTGCGTCGCGTACATAACAAAACTCTTTGTCGCTTCCTATTAGACCTATTGAAACAGAATAATCTCTTACATTTATCCATGCTGTTTTCCGTGACTCTTTGGTAATAGTAGTAGAAAACTGACCAAAAAGTTCACTCTTTAATTCTAATATTTTTCTTAAAAAGTTTTGATTTTTCATTTTCTTTTCTTCCCTTTTGCTCAATTTAGGCATCTTTTATTTCAATAAGAATGTCACTTCACAACTAAAAAATACTAAATTTTGACATAATATCAACTAAACTTCAATAAGGACACTAGATCTAGTAGGTAGCTGCCATGCTAAAAAATACTAAATTTTGACCTTAGATATAATATCAAATATAAATATAAACTACATGCACTTTGCGCTTTTTTCAATGTGCGCTTTTATACCGGTGAGCTTTTTTCCGTGTGCGGTTTTTTCCGTGTGCGCATATTTCCTCGTGCGGTTATTTCCTGTGCGCTTATATGTCTGTGCGCTTTTTTCTGTGCGCATATTTCCTGTGCGCTTATTTCCTTTGCGCTTTTTTCCGGCCACCAATATCAACTAAACTTCAATAAGGACACTAGATCTAGTAGGTAGCTGCCATGCTGCTAATATATTAGAAAAGATTCTGTCACTAATAATATGTCTAAATTAAAATAATCTGTGAAACAGAAAACAGCCAACTTATATTATTATTTAATGAGTCTAATATTATTTACTAATAATATAAGTCATTTTTATGAAATAGACCCCTGTACTTGACTTTCTGGTAACATGAAAACAACATTAAGTTCAGAGGTACTCCTCAGGGTTTAACCTGACCTGTACTTAACTTTCCGAATGGTAGAATTAACAGTTAATCGTAATTTGAAAACAGCGATCGTACATTCTGACAAATTTCGAACTTCAACAGTTAATATATTAATAATTATTAACCGACTTCAAAAATGGAGGAGGTTCTCAATTCGTTGCAATATTTTTTTTTTATGTATGTTCAGCGATAATTCTTTAACACGGTGTCCGTTTTTAATGATTCTTTTGTTTGTAAGAGGGTACTTCAGGGATAGTCCCATATAAATTTGGTCAAAATCTAATAATTGGGTCCATGATAAAATCCTCAAACTCTTAATTTTTTGTGTATGTTTAGCGATAATGCTTTACCACCTTGTCCGATTTATATGATTCTTTTTTTGTTAGTAAGGGGGTACCTCAGGGGTGGTGCCATATAAATTTAATTAAGATGTGGTGATGGCATCTGTACGTTTTTGAAGTCGGTTTTTTTTTAATCTATAATTTCTAATACATACCTTTTAACTTATACAGTAGAGCTCCTACTATAATTTAATGATGCTTAATATTTATATATATTTACAAATGAGGATTTTTTTATCGATAAAATTTTTCCACGGTTAATTATAATGCATTGTTACATAGTTATCTAATGTTTTAGTCATTTCTGCTCTGGTTAACGTTTTTTAAGGGTATAGATATACATATTTCGTAAAAGCATTGACGATAAATAAAACGTATTTAAAATGATCTGTGGTTATTTGTTATTTTTAACACAATACGAATGGTATGAAACGGAATATTTATTTTTAAACAAGTTCAGATATACTTTCCCAAACCTTTTCTATTCTCTTTGTCGACAAACAGTACGTGTAATAATTAATGACTTGGTCACAATATAGCTTTATTTTTAACTCAGTGGTATTTATTGTTGAATAGTTATTTCCAAACAAAGAAATTTAACAAAAAATGTTTAATTTCGTTTTGTTTTTCTAAGCTTTTCTCAGCCAGTTATTGATAGAGATAATATAAGTTCATTTTAATGAAGAAAATATTTTTTTCTAATCGAATTTCTATCAAAATTAAAGTTTGACATATGACGTAAAAGTGTAATACAAAGGTGTGGACATTTTAGCATCGTCATAGCAGAAATACTAGTTATCAAAACTAGTAGCTAGAATAGTTCTAAGAGTATTATCGCTTTATACTGTGACAAAGGCCCGATAGAAATATTTTGTTTGAGATAATGTCCAAAAGAAGAAGAAAGAGATGCTTTTAAAATCAAATCAGGAGTGCATTTAAGCAATCCGGTAAAAATCAGGACTAATAATTAGGTACTCTTTTGGACAAAAAATTGGAATGGTTATAATTTTCCATAACAAAAATTAAATAAAATAAATAAAAATAAGGCTTAAATTAACGAAAATCCAAGAATAATTCTGGGATGCTAATACACTTAAATAATTTTTAAAGTTTACTAATGTATACGGTCAAAAATCAGCAGGCAACTTGTTATATATAGGAACGAGACGCAAGAAGAGAAACTTCTTCTGAAAATGGTTTTATTGTGCCGAGTATTTTGGTTTCTGATAAAAAATTATTATATTGTGCGAAAGATTTTAACTTCACTTACAGCTTTTTTGTGGATTTCTATTGAGAAGCCTCTTAGCTTTCAGATATTTATAAGAAATATGATCAAACTTCAGAAAACCAAAGGAAAAGCGCAGACAAGATTTTTTTAACTTTTGTAATAGTTGTGTCATGATAATTTTCGTACATTATCGTAAGAAATAATACTAAATGTATGATCTAAGCATTATTTATTATAAAGCAGTTCCTTTTTATTTCTTCAATGTTTTACACAGAAAGGTGTACTATATTCAAAATTAATGGTCTTATTTCAATGCTTTTTTGTGTTTGTATATCCGCAAGTAAAATTCGTCTCGATTTAAAATTCTAGTAATACTTGTTTAACAATAGCCTATAAGACTTACTTTAAGATTAAAATTAACTTGCCCTAACTGAAAAACATCTTAAATGAAATAATCTTACAATTTTTTAAATATACTTTATTTATATTCAATAATATCTTGTTTTTAAATCCAATACAACTAAATTTGTTACAATATTACATATTATGAATTGTTCCAAGAAATGTTAATATTAGCCTTGACATAAATATATTGATTTTGGTTGAATTATAGGATAGTTTCATTGAAGAAATTAATAATCTTGAATAGTTTTAATAGGATTCTCACTGGTACCTATCTACCGAAAAACATTTTTTTAAATTGTTTTTAGTTAATGTACCAAATTCCTCTGTCCTCTGATGTGTCCCACCTATAATTAAAAAAAAAAATAATTTTATAACTACAAAACCTAAATGGAACTTAAAAGTTTGTCCTGCTAAGATAAGTGGTCGTATCTACAAAATGAATATTTTTAGTAAATGTGGGTAGGTAGATAATTACGTCCTTTTAGACTTCGCAAATAAGTTTTGCATATTTTACTAAACTTTTCTTATAATTATAGTAAATATTTTCTAATGCAAATAGGTCTTTATTATTTTGTGTCTTAATAAAATAAAATGTAAGCTTATTAAATCATTAAATCATACATTTTTTTGTACTTCTATTCCAGTTTGTTTGGTATTTTTATGATTATAAATTTACTTATATATATTATAATACCTAACAAGAAGTGAACTAAATATACTTACATTTAAATATTGGTATCAGGTCGCTGAGGCCCCATTCATCTAACAACTCTTTCATTTCAATTTAATTTATTCATGCAATAAGCTTCAGCTGGCAACACCGTGCAGTGAATTTGTACATACTAATCTTTTGTGAAGTACATACGTTTTTGATTCAAATTGTTTAATTCTTGTTCTGAAATTTGAATGCTTGGAATCGAATCCTTTTATAACATTGAATCAAGTACGCGATAGTTGGTTTTAAAAGCATATCATACTAACAGTAAACGTAAAAGCTTTCTTGGTTTAATTAACAATTCTAGACTCGAATAAAATAATTTATTCTCAGATTAAGTATTATAAATCTTTAAATACAAGATAATGCCTGCACTTTACTTAACATTTATTTTCTTATTGTATCGAGGAATATTATTTGAAGCAAACTCTGCTTTATTTCAAACAAATGTAATCTTCCAAGTGTAAAGCTTTTCTTAAATGCAGATGATAATTTTTTTTTGTGACCGTTCTAATAAAAATACTTATTACATATTTATTCTATACTTGAATATTCTATCTCGACTTTAAACAAACGTGGCCGTTTAACTAAAATCGCATTCGGATATGTTCTAATTATTCAACTCTAAGTAATTAAACTAACGACCACCGGGGGACACACATAGTGAACAAAAATGCAGCTTTAAAGACTTACTCCGGTCTAATTTAAGGCCCTGGATTCGTACAGGCAGTGGCTAAATCAAAGACGCAGGATGCGAGCTTGCTTGGCTAGGGCCGTTGGTCAAAGGGTGAGGATTATCTGGACGTTGTACTCGAAGGGTGGATAATGGGTTACAGGAACAGAAGGATAGACGGATGTTATTTAATTGTATTTTGATTTCAAGAGTGATAGAATGGAGAATAATTAAATTAAAACAGCATTGAATAAAATATATACGAATAATGAAATAGTTTAGTTATTTAGAAGCTGTATATAAAGTAAATATAATGTAAAAAACAAATGATGACTAACAATGTAATTAAAAATACAGGGTGTCACAATATCGAAGGCATCATTCACAAAACATTAAACAGCCTTACAATATTGATACAAATACCACCCACCACCGTTACTTAAAGAAACAAATCGCTAATAGACATACAGAAATAGAAACAAAAAAACAAAAAATATGATTTATTTATTTATAGGTGATATTTTGAAAAATAACGAGACCATGGCGTTGTGTATAAAACTATAATTTCACTTTGTCATTAAACAAATTTACCTAAATATTAATACTCGTATATGTAACTATAAAACTTACTAATAAAATGTAATTATTTAACTAACAAAAATGCACTATTTATGGTTAACAAATAAATTGTAATAATTTTAACAGTAATAAATCATAATTAGTGTTAACCATACCTATTACTTTTAATTTATTTAAGTACTATTAATACTTATATATTTATCGCTAACAATTTCATCTTGAACGACACACAGTTCCGTATGACATCCTCGAACAAGGTAAACGACACTGGCCTTCTCGTCATTTGGTTACAAATGAAAGGGTTGCAGTTTTTTTTGTGAAATTATTACAGATAGATATCACTTGCTCCACAACTGGTATCTATAAATCAATATTAAACTGACAAGTGTCTGATGACATTTCGATGTCAGACCACCGCTGGTTAATTTACTTATGGGCAAGTCCATTTGAGAAATAAATTAC